GAATATGCCACAGGATGTCACATGATATCACAAGACCAAGTGGCATGCTGTGCCAGGAATGGGGAAGGGAGAGAAGAAAAGGAAAGCTGTTGCAGGGAGGCAGAGGTTGCTGAACCTGTCTGTGCTGTAATTAATTGTCTCCACTGCTGAATCCTCATCTTGCCATCCCGCTGTGCCTCTCAACATGTATGTAAAGAGATGCCATAGGAATGGCACTCTTGCTTTCTGTGCATGAGCACTAAAAGTGTTTCCGTTATTCTTGGGTTTTAAGTAGGAATATTTTCTAGACTATGACTGTCATACGGTCTGTTCACTTACTCTGTGACACATAGGAATCCTACCCTAGACGTAGGCTGCGATCACACACACTAAGTGATCCCCTTTTAATCCACTTTCAGTGCACTTTCCAACTGGATTTTTCTAGTTCACACAATAAAACCCAGTTGGAAAGTGCATTGAAAGTGGATCGAAAGTGGATTATTTAGTGTGTGTGATCACAGCCTTAGACTCTGCACGACTTTCTCAGTTTAGGCCAGCTGTGACTTCTGAAGATTTTATTGGCTCTTACGTAAAATCCCTAGTATAGTGCTACATCAGTGTGATGCTGCATTCCTCCCCACTAAGTCAGTCTTCCTCTCACTTCCTAAAATATAACTGTGGAATGTATTGCAAATTAATTTCAGATTACGTAGGAAATCTGTCACAACAGGCAGTGTAAATCTGACCTAACCCCTGATTTGTAAGCGAGTGGGTGCACTAGAAATTCATACACTATATGAATAGTTACTTGGATTGGTTTTGCTTCCTGGAGATGCTGCTTAATGTTTTTTCTTAAGTAAATCTTGTTGAAAGTACAATGTGGCTAGATCTAGACAGTTGTTTTTCACCTTTTTATAGGCATTAAAGTTAGAATACAGAATATGGCATTAGCTATACATCCAGTATTTTTGGTAGTAGGTGCCAGTTGGTATATTGATCTCCTTGTGTGAATTCTGTTCTTCCATATTTATCAGATATTCATGAGGTAGGGTTGTGTGTTTTATGCCTCTAAAGCTGGTTGTTTCATTGACAAATTGTTTATTTTTGTTTTTATTTATTGTCTGCCTTTTACAGTGAGACCCATGGCAGATTATGTGGTGTAAATATGGACAAATACCACGAGACAGCTAATAAACAATGCAATAGGACCAGGATTACAAAAGCAGAGACAGAGCTAAAAAGAACTGGACATTATATGACAAGCAATGCAGAAAATGGAATTACAAAGTTTTAAAAAGTGCTATTAAAAGTGTTTTTAAAAGTGGTATAAGAGCATATAATACAACAAAATACATAATACCTACTACACATATTGGCATACACAACAGTCCAGTGACATAAAGTTCTACTTTTATAACAGCAATTTTCCTTAACCATTCCATTATACTGTAACCAAATTACCGTTATAAAATGCCCTTCTGAACACTTCTGTTCTACATAGTTAGCAGCATGACAAAAATGTGGAGCTTTCCATACCTCCTCAAGCAGGGCATTTCACAAGGTAAGGACCATGACAGAGAATATGGGGGTCTCAAGGTCATGAATGGCTTTGTATGTGATAACCAGTACCTTAAATTGAACCTGATAACTGATAGTAGCCAATGGAATGACTGCAGAATGGGTGTTGTATGCATTGTCTAGCTCTTGATAATAACTGAACTGTGATATTCTGTATCAACTGGGGTTTCCAAGCTGACTGCAAGGGCAGACCCACGTAGAATACATTATAATAGTCTAGACTCAGGGTTACCATGGCCATGGTTCCACATAGCCAGAGCAGCCAAGTCAAGCTAGGAAACCATCTTCTGGGGTAAATGAAAATGGATGAAAGTATTTTTTGCAACTGCCTTGTTTCTCCAGCAATAATGCTGGGTCCAGTATAACCCCTGTACTCTTAACCAAGTCAGCAAGGGTTGGGTGAACCCCATGGAATGTGGGAAGCACAATTGAATTCAGCCTTCCCAACCAACATTACTTCATTCTTGTCAGGATTCAGTTTCAACTTGCTCATTCTTAGCTGTTCAACCACAGCAGTCAGGCACTGGCTCAAGATCGCTAACGCATCACCAACCAATTTGGATAAAGAAGTATTGAGGCAGCCTTGTCCTGGATAGCCCAGGCAAGCCCAATCTCGTCGGATCTTGGAAGCTAAGCAGGGTTCACTGTGGTTAGTACTTGGATGGGAGACTTCCTTGGAATGCCAGATCTAGAGGACAGGGGCAGGCTTTATTCAGCCACCTCTCTGAATATCCTCCAGGCCCCCAGTAGGAGTCAGTCGGCATGACTTTCAGCCACAGACACACACACACAAATACAAAAATACCCCCCAAAAAATTAAAAGAAGTATTTAGCTGGATATTGACAGCATATTGAGGATAGTGAATTCCAAAACCATGAATGATTGCTTCTGAGGGCTTTAAATAGAGATTGAATAGTGTGGGGGATAGTTCTGTACCTTGTGAAACTGCATAGGACAAAACCCACACAGATGACAATAGGTCTCCAATAGCAATGCTCTGAGTCTAGTCCATAAGAAACAGTTTAAACCAATCCAAAGCATAACCCCTGATGCCTTCAAACATTTCAACAAGATGACTGAAATTTATGTGTCTTGAAAATTGATTAGCCTATGTAATTAGGAGCAAATAATACTTCATCTACCCAAATGGCAAAATACTTAGGAAATTCTGTGTTGTCAAGAAACTGCTTTTGGCAATATTCATAAAAATCTATATTCAAGTTAGTCCTGACTAACTGGGAAATAGTCTCTGCAATAATTATCTCTGCCAGTGCAAGGTTTTGAATAGAAACTCAAACATCCATTTAAAAGGGGATAGATTTAAACAGAGCTTTGATTTCACTTAACTGGCACAGCATTGTACTGGGGCCTTCTGTATCCAAAGCCTGAATCAGCAAGACTGAACTGATTGCATATGCTTTTCTGAAGAATAGTCTAAAATATAAGTGTGGGGTATCTCTGGTATTGCAGTAAATTCAAGATTTACAGATATGCTGTATCATGAATGGCATGCTTGGATCATGGATCGTGAAAGAGATCTTAATTTTTATGTGTGTTGTTGGAAGGCTTTATAGCCTATTTCTATTAACCTTTAGGCCACAGCCAGGTCTCCAATGTTTGTTCCTGCATTTCTTCCGTCAGAGACTGTCCTGATCCATGTGTAGCAATGATAGTCACAACCTTTTGTGTGCTATTAAAGAAGCTGTATTGTTTGGGCTTTTTGGGTTTACCACTGAGATAAATCTTCATTGCTAATATAGCTCTGAAGTAATCTTTTTCTTCATGGTCTCTGTACAGTTGTGAACATAGGTCCTATACTTGACAAGAACCAACTCCAGGGATACTCTAGAACTCTAGACAGGATACTTAAGAAGTGGCTTTGCATATGTGCCCATGCTTGTGATGGCACGATCACCTTCCCACTCAAGGAATGCTGTCCGTGGCTTTATTCCATTATGGTTGTGTGCAGTGCATTTTTAAATGGTGGGATAAAATTGGGAATGTGGGTGGTTTGAGAACAGTAGCATCTACTGTGTCCGCATGTACTGAGTGCAATAGAAGTGTCTTGGAAATAACATAGTGGATAACTGTCCACATTTCGTCATGTTGCTGTGGTATAACCTGAAGTTATAACCTAAATGATCCAGAAAGGTTGAGGATATGAGAACTCTGATCAGGGCCGCTTCCAAATTTTTGTGGGCCCTGGGCAGAGAGTACCCCTCCTTTCCTCTGCCTACCATCAAGCACCACTCTTATGGCTTTCTTTCCACCTGCTGACCCACGTGTCTGTGCATCCATCCCCCACCCTCTCATGAGCCTTCTCGTCACCTGCACTTACAGATGGCTTGCACCACCCACATGCCCATTCTCTGACGGAGCTGGGCAGTGTGTATGGCTAGGAGTATGGATGCCAAAGTGCTTGCAGTCGAGGGTGGGAAGGGTGAGTGGACAGCAGGGGAGGTGCATGGTTAGTGGCAGTGGGCCCTCCCAGAAGCCCTGGGCTCTGGCAGCTGCCCCACCTCAGGGTATGCGGAAGCTGGCTTTGACTCTCTGATCACACCAATGCCATAAGAGACGTGTTCATGTAGAAATAAGATTATAGTATAGTAAAGCAGCTGTTGCAAATAAGCCCATAGTACTGAGTTGAGATGGTGGATTTTCTGCAATTAGAGGACAGTTATTCACTTTGACGCTCATGTAGAAGCATGCAACAAGTAGGCAGGGTCCTAAAAATAGAAAAAGGATAGATTCCATAAAAACAGCATGGGATAGAACACTATATGTGAACATACCCTATCAGGAAGAAGGAAACAAAAAAATTGAGGGGGGGGGGATCTTCAGCTAAAGGAAGCAAATTAACCCATATCCAAAATACTTCTGAACCCATTTTCATCTTTTCTCCACAGGGGAAAGTGGAAGTAGAGGCTGGAAAAGAGGGAATGAAGTTTGAGGCTGGTGCTTTCTCCTACTATGGAGTGATGGCTCTCACAGCATCACCAGGTAAGTCCTTCACATCTTTGTCTGAAATTGCTTCTAAAAGTACACACTTTTGCTGGGATGAAAAAGTGCCTTACAAACCATTCCAGTCTTTGATGAAATTTAAATTGAATATAAGCTGGAAAATTTATCACTGCTGGGGACCACAGAATATTTATTGGGACAAACTGGTATCTAGAGCTGTTGTTGTAACCTTTCTTTCAAGTTTTTATATTGAAAAGCTGCTGGGCCAAAATAGTGAATCAGTAGCTGGCAGATCAAAGATTTCTACAGTTGCAAATCATTCTGTCCTCAATTTACAGGGGGCAGAGGGTGTCCAGCCCTCCCCCATCATTAGTATCTCTTTTAGAAAGCTTGCTGCCTGGATCTTTCCACCATGTCTCTCTGGCTGTGTGCCTGGCTGAGAATAGTCTTAAGCTTTGCATTGCTTTGTTTCTTTGTCTAGAGTCTCCCAGGTTAATGACTTCTCTGTCTGTACCAGCTGGCTGGCAGCTCCTCCTCACCTCTGCCTGACTCCAAGCACTTTGTTTGGTCCTATCCATCAGAGTCTCTACCACACCTCAAGAGTCTCAGGTGGCTCAAATCTACTTACTATATATGCACTATCCTAGGAATTTATTTTATAAAAAAATAAAAATAAATAAATATATATGCACTGTCATCCTAGGAACACTTTCCTGGGAATAAGCTTCATTGAATGGACCTGAATAGGATTCTGAGTAGACCTACTTAGGATTGCTGTCATAGTGACTGAAAGAACCTTCTAGCCAAGTGGAAATTGACAGTGTAACTGCTTTGAAACATCCCTCGTATCTGGGACAGTGCAAAGATCCATACAGATCCTGGCCTCAAGGTGAACAGTGCATGCTCTTGAACCCCAACATGCAAATTAACAAGAGAGGATTGGGATGGGGAATCCAGGTTCAATGTCCATCAGGAACCATACAAAGGAGGACTTCCGATTTAAGCGTTTCGCCGCTCGGACACGTCCCGTCTCGCTCTGATGGGAATGCGCTGAGACCTGGCTGACAGGAGGGGTCCAAGTTCGTCCCAGACCTCCCTGGGGTCTTTGTAGGAGACCCTCAGTCTGGGGAGAAAGCCTCTTCCAAGGTGACAGCCAAGGAATTGAGGCTCACCTTATCCCCAAAAGGTACCGTCGCCGTGGAGCCAATATGGCACTTAGAGACGACTGCCGGAGCAAGCAACCACAATCAAAACTTTAAAATGCTTCCAAAAGATCTCCAAACTGTGAGTTAAGCAATGCTCAGGTGAAAAAGCAAACGGACCTTGGTAGTAATTGGAAGCGCCTAGTTTGAAGCGTGGAGGGAGAAGGACCAAGCGCCTCCCCCCGCTTTTTGAAAAAGATTTAAAAGTGGTTTTAAATTGGAAATAAAAAGACTTAGAGCTAAAATAAGCGCATAAGAAGTTAAGCGAATGCAAAAACTGCCAATATATAGAAAGCAAATTTAAATCGTATAACTTTTGCCTTGTTTTGGAAAACTTACTTCTCATTGATATTATGGCTGGGAGAGGATGGAGGGCGCCGGAGAAAAAACTGATGACCGGAAATAACATACCAACGACTCCCTCTCAGAACCAGGAAGTAACTACAGACTTTTCTTCAGTGTTAGCAAATGCACTGCACCCCCTAATGGAACAGATTACTAACCTCAATGCCAAACTGGACAGTGTTCAAAAACAACTGAATCAAATGGATAAAAGAACCTCAGTAACCGAGAAAACGTTGAAAAAAATGGAAAAACAGACTGAGAGTATCAACAAGAGAGTAGATGAAGCAGAGAAAGAAAGATCCTCCGATAAAACACAATTAATACAGCTTCAGCTGGATAGATCTACATATGTTATACATTTCCATGGGATCCCTGAAGAGAAGAACGAGGACTTAAAAGAACTTTTGGCGGGGGCTCTGGCTCCATTAATGGATTACAAACAGGAAGACCTATTGAAAGAGATGGATGTAGCCTACAGGATTTACCCGGATTTTATAAAGAAAAATAAACTCCCGGGGGAAACCTATTTAAAATTCACGAAACGATCTACCAGAGAACTGGTGTTAAAATCTACAATGGGAAAAACCCTAAAAATTAAGAACGAAGAGATAAAAATACTAAAAGACATTCTCTTTGAAGTCAGAAAACGGAGGAAACTATACAGGATGCTTATTCTCACTCTGCAAAAAAAAAAAAAGGGAGTGCCATACAGATGGTTATTCCCGGAAGGACTGAGCTTCAATTATTTGGATTAAAAATACAACATTGATTCTGTTCCAAAAGCGGAAAAATTTATGGACCAAATGTTCAACTCAATATATAAGAAAAAAGAAAAGAACTCAAAACCAGATCAGGAAGAGGAGGAAGAAGAATCCTACTCACAGGATTCAAAAAGCACTACTTCCACATCACCTGAATCATCGGAATCGGAGAAAGGAGAAGCCGCCCCCAAACTCAAGAAAACGAAGAAACTCAGCAAGAAAAGACTCTAGAACAAGAACAACAGTTCTTAAAGGCAGTATTTGTGTTAAGCTATTAAATGCATATTCTTAAAGTAATACTGTAATGAACCAACCTGTATACCAAACTTGTAACATTAGGTTAATAAGCCTTACTTTTAGCTAATTAGATTGTGACATGTATTAGCTCTCCTTTCCCCAAATCCGCATGATGGAGTGAGCTCCCATCTCTAGTTCCAGCTCCTGCCAACCTAGCAGTTCGAAAGCAAGAAATTGCAAGTAGATAAATAGGTACCACTTCGGTGGGAAGGTAACAGCGTTCCGTGCGCCTTGGTGTTTAGTCATGCCAGCCACATGACCACGGAAACGTCTTCGGACAGCGCTGGCTCTTCGGCTTTGAAACAGAGATGAGCACCGCAACCCTAGCGTCGGATTCGACTGGCTTTCGAGCAAGGGAACCTTTACCTTTACCTTTTACCCCAAATCCAATAGATGAAATAGTTTAGAATAGTAACTTCCTTTCCTTATCAAGTAGTTTTCATGTATTAGTTTGTCCTCTTCCCATTTCCCATAGCTATAGTAATAGGGTTTTAGTTTCCCTCCCCCTTCCAACTTTTAGTTGTAGTTTTTGTAGTTTATAGAAAATGCAAATAAAAAATCCCCTTTGGGGGGCATAAAAAGAAAAAAAGGAACCATACAAAGGAGAACTGAATCTGCACTAGTTGGGCAAGAGGCCCTACTGGGGGAGGAACAAAACTGTCACATAAGAAATGTTTAGGTCTACCTGGTCTTTTTGCTTTCTGAAAATTCAGAATTAGGAATAAACTCCTGAAAATCCCCTTCTGGAATTAAAGGGGTGGCAGGATGCTGGATTACAGACCTGAACCTGATGAGGCTTCTGCGAGTATTTACTTGGCACAGTATGAAAACAGACTGACATAGAGATTTCACTGGCCAGTGGGGAGTTAGGTTAGTGAAAGGAGAAATCCACTTCTCACTATTGTGTTCCTGTACTAGCTGCCTAGAATGTCAGTTGATTACCCTAACCCTCTCTATTGAACCCAGCATTGGGGGTGTTTCTCTTTTCGTAAACCTGATACGTGGGTTGTTATAATATTATACTGATATTCAGTTGTTGATTGAAAAGTAACCCAGTGACTGGGGGGTGAGGAATGGCCTCCATGGAGACATGTTGGGACTTATGAGGACCAGTGGGAAGGACTAAAATTGAGTTGGGTCAGAGGTGGGGTTTGTTGATTTCATTAAGGACCTGTCTTTTCTCTGTTGTTTGAGCACTGCCTGTTAGAATTCAGAGCTGTGGTCTATGACCATTTCCCTGCAGGTTATTTTCCCCAGATCTCCCCCCCCCCCCGCTTCTCAGTGGCATTGCAGAGCATTTGTGGATCTCCCTGAGTTTCCCCAGCTTTTCTCCTGTCTTTCCCAAACCAGCTTTACTGTAAAGTTTATTTATTTATTTATTTCTTCAGATTTATACCCCGCCCTCCTAGCCAGGGCTGTCTTACATAAAATCAGTAGAGAACATTTAAAATAATACAATAACTCAATTAAAACAGTATTAAAACCAGATTACAATTCCATGATACCGTAGTAAGTGCTAGATTTGCTTAATAAAGTTCATGATGGCTACTATCGACTCTCACTTCCCAAGCCAGCTCAGAGGTCTTCTATAGTTGTCTTTTGGTGTCTTTACAACGGCTGGCATGGGCTGTTAATATAAGTTCCAGTGGCAGGAGGGCTTCTTATCCTAGTTGTTAAAAGGTGGCGGCGGCTCCAAATGCTTGGCAGAAGAGCTCCATTTTACAGGCCCTGCGAAACTGTAATAGGCTCTGCAGGGCCCTGCTCTCCTCTGGGAGCTCATTCCACCAGGATGGAGCTGCCACCGAGAAGGCCCACGCCCTGGTTGTCACCAGCCTGGCCTCCTTAAGACTTGGGAGGGCCAATCGGTTCTGGGCCCCTGAACACAGTGCTCTCTGGGGAACATGTGCGGAAAGGTATGTAGGTCCCTGACCATAAAGGGCTTTAAAGGTAAGAACCAGCACCTTGAAACGAATTTGGTATGCTATCGGCAGCCAGTGCAATGCCTTGAGCACAGGCTGGATGTGCTTCCGGATTGGGAGTCCCATCCGCAGCCTGGCCGCAGCATTTTGCACCAGCTACAGCTTCTGGATCTGAGACAAGGGCAGCCCCATGTAGAGAGCATTACAGTAGTCCAGTCTCGAGGTGACCATTGTATGGATCACTGTTGCCAAGTAGTTGCGTTCAGGGAAGGAAACCAACTGCCTAATGAGCCGGAGATTATAAAAGGCTGCCTTGGCAGTGGCTGCTACCTGGGCCTCCATTGTTAAGGAGGCATCCAGGAGCACTCCCAGACTCCTAACCTCCGGCGCTGGCATCAGAGGTGTCCGATCGAAGGTTGGGAGCGGGATCCCTTCCCTCAGGCCGCCTTGACTCAGGCAAAGGACCCCCGTCTTCGTTGGATTCAATTTCAGCTGGCTCAGCCTAAACCAACCAGCCACAGCTTGTAACACCCGGTCTAGATCTTCCAGTTTGGAGTTGGATTGACCGCCCAACAGCAGATAGAGCTGGGTGTCATCCGCATACTGGTGACACCCCAGCCCATGCCTCCGGGCAATCTGGGCAAGGGGACTCATATAGATGTTTAAAAGCATCAGGGATAACACTGCCCAGATTAAAGTACAACCTGGATTCCTACTGTGTGGGTGGAAAAGTTTGGATTTTCCTGGTCCTGTTCACAGCAGCCATTTTTCTTTTGCCCCTGTCCCCATGGTGGCCATTCCCCACCCCCAGTCACTGGGGTACTTTCCCATCAGTAATTGAATATCAGTATAATATTATAACAGCCCATGTATCGGGTTTTCTGAATCCCCAGCTTTCATGTAAAAAGGAGCAAATCTCTAGCTCCTTTCATTGTGGAGATATAAGAGGAAAGGCATATCTTCATAACAGAAGAAGAGATTGGATTTATACCCCGCCCTTCACTACCCAAAGGTGTCTCAGAGCGGTTTACAAACTCCTTTCCCTTCCCCTCCCCACAACAGACACCCTGTGAGGTAGGTGGGGCTGAGAGAGCTCTGATAGAAGCTGCTCTTTTTCAAGAACAGCTCTGACAGAACTATGGCTTGCCCAAGGTCATCCAGCCAGGTGCAAGTGGAGGAGTGGGGAATCAAACCCGGTTCTCCCAGATTAGAGTCCACGCACTTAACCAATACACCAAACTAGCTCCAAAGAGGCTACTTTAAAAATAAAATCTGGGAATTCAGAGAACCTGATGCCTTTATTATTATAACTATATATTGATATAGCAGTATTCAGCTGCAGATTTTTTAAAAAACTGAAAAAGCCCTGGTTGTATGCGGTGGGTGGGGTGGTTATTTGCTGGGGTACTTAAGCAGGAAACTTATGGGAAACCTGCCATGTGGAAGCTTTGGTGCATCTGCACTGTGTCGGCAGCTACAGTAGCAACAGGGAAACAATACAAGCCTGACCCTGTGTGGAAAACACCTTCAGAATGTGTGAGATGTTGCAAAGTAACAGTTTTGCATTAGGCAAGTGGTGATCAGTGGCTCTGTATGCTTACACTAACTGGATCACCTTGATCCTGTTCTCAAGATTTTGTCAGTTATTGACAGAACTTTAGATTTTCCTGAGCACAGCATGTTAAAAGGGTTTTCTTTCTGTGTTAACAATTGCTTGCATTTAAGACGCTGAACTGCAGGCTGTGGAAGGTCAGTAGTTCAGCAGTTCGAGACCCGAGTGCCGCATGACGGAGTGAGCTCCCGTCTCTAGTTCCAGCTCCTGCCAACCTAGCATTACGAAAGCAAGAAATTGCAAGAGGATAAATAAGTACCACTTCAGTGGGAAGGTAACAGCCTTGGTGTTTAGTCATGCCGGCCACATGACCACGGAAATGTCTTCGGACAGCGCTGGCTCTTCGGCTTTGAAACGGAGATGAGAACCACAACCCTAGAGTCAGATTTGACTGGCTTTCGAGCAAGGGAACCTTTACCTTTATATAAAAAGCATGGAGTTATTTTCACATCATACTTACATAGTTTCCCCCTAGGAGAAAATTAGTTTTATCATGGAGTATTTGCTACCTGTTTCATTAGCAGGAAGAAGTGTAACCCCAATAGCATAAAATCTGCCTTTGGTCAATTACCTGTATCCTTGTTTAGAATTATGTTTGCAGCTGCCTAGAAATAAGAACAGCAATTGGTTTTTGGTGCAACAAACAAGGGGTAAAGAGAATATAAGACAATCCCTAAATGTCCACCATAGCTTCACCTTTGTACCACTGCTCCACTGGAAAAGGACTCCTTGTTTATGTCTATATATTATTTTCAGATTTAAAGGTTCCCTTCTTGCCCTCTTCTGCTCTCCAAATGTCTGCTTTTGAGGAGGCCAATTCATTTTCCAGTTGCCATCTGTTCAGCTCCTACTAAAGCAATGCTGCTTCCTTTCAAAATGTGGAGGAAGGGGAAAACATGGTTTGTTATTAAAGAAGCTACTTAGAAAAAAAAAATAACCACCCCTTCAGTATGGGTATATTCTTTATGCCTGATAACATCCAGAATGAATAAAACTCTGTTGGTCTTAAAGATGCCACTGGACTCAAACTTTGTTCTGCTGCTTCAGACCAACATGGCTATTCACCTGAGGCAGCGGACAGACGTGCCTTTAAATCTGACTCAGCTACAAATGCCTGATGGATCTAAAGGGCATGATCAGACAGCAACATCTGGGAAAGGTCCCGCAGCTGTCAGCGCCCTGTGTTGCCCTGCCACTGAAGCGTAGTTAAAAGTCACAGGGAAAGTCCAGTCCTAATGCTTTCTGATGGGCTACGGACAGACTTTCCCTGTCTGATCGCTCAAGCATGCTCTCATGACGTCAGGATGGTCTGCTCATTCCATCCTTACTCAATGCCTTCCCTCCCCTTGCTTAGCAGTATGAGCATAACCGCATACTCCATGGGGAACCCTCAACGCAGAGGTGCGATTCCTCGTTTATGCACATGGGAAACAAAAGACAACAACAACACCCCACTCACCCGAACATGCCATCTGATCGGGCAGTGACGGGCTGAGCCGGCAGCTACAAAGGATGTGTGATCGCGCAATGCTGTGTCAATTTCCACTGGGGAAATAGGCTCACTTCCTCTCCACACCAAATGGCATGTCTGACCATGTCTGACCAATTTAGCATCCAGATTAGTTGGGTTCAAATGAAATACACAGTTATTACTGCATATACATTTTGCAACTGATCCTGAGGCAGCTGCCCTTGGTGACAGTCAGATGGCTGTGCAGAACAAAGACATGCTCTCCTTTGCTTGTTGCTTTGCCCGGAAAAATTAGGGAAGTATGGGTTGCATCCACATGGCAATGACTTTCCATGTTCATTCTATTCCAACTGCAAAGGCATTCACAGTGGCAACAGATCATTTGCACTGTAGTTTCGCCCACATTTTCCTTGCCTCATTTCCCTGTTCCAATGCTACCATAAGATTTTTTCAGTCCTTCAAAAATGTAGTTGACATATCCCTTTGGCTTAATTCTATGGTGATATGTTAATTACTGATTTTAAAAAGCCCCCTGATGTGGGTGGGAGCTGCACAGGACTGAGGCAAGGAAAATGACAGTAATGTAGGCCAGACCTGCAAAAATGCATGCCTTTCCATCTGCACAGCATGCAAAGACTCTATGACTACAATCTTTCCCAAAGGTCATACCAGACCAGCTTTCGAAATGAGTGGGGCAAAACACAGAAGGTAGATGACTGGGGGACAACAGCTTTTGGATGCTCCAATGGTGGGCTCTTCTGGTTTTTGCAAGGCCCATGCTGACTGGTGAGATGAGATGTTTCTTACCAATGTATATGGTGGTTACTAAAAATAGAAATGGATGCATTTATGAAAATACCACCTCTTTTAAACAGCATAGCTAGACATCTCCTGCTGTTTATTTATTTAGCTTCTTAGTAAGTACCTGGTCACCCCAAGATGAATGTTGTTTTCCATTTCAAAGACTGACTGCTTCTTAGGGTTAGCAAGTAGGAAGCATATAGAGTATGATTTCTAGTTTTTAGTAATTTTCTGATCAGCTTTTCATTATTTCATAGTCCTTTACTTTTCTCTGATTTAAACTGTACTTTTAATTTCTCCATTGTGTAGGAATTTCCCCTCTCCCCTGTCAGTTACAGATGGCCTCTTCTCTGATCCTGATATCATCTATTTTTTTCTCCATCTTCTAGTTCCCTTGTCCCTGTCTCGTACCTTTGTTGTCAGCAGAACTGAATTATTAGCAGCAGGTACTCCAGGTAAACTTGCATGCTTCTTGTTTACCCTTCTTGCAACTGTACTTACCTCATATACCCATTTGGGATATTTATATGATAACTTCCTTTGGTGAAGAGATGCAGGAGAGACAGAGGTCCAAGTGAAAATCGTTCTGTATTTGGCTGTGGAAAGGTTCTCTTTTGGTACTAACATTAACTGCCTCAATATTAAAACAAAGTTATGTTTTGGTTTCTGATCATGGGCAACACAGAATGTTTTTCTTCATGGATTCTGTGCATTGCCAGATACAGAAATGTTATCTGCACAGACCATACATTTATGACCATCCAAAAACCTCTCAAACAAGCACAGTTAAAGGTAAACAACTTTGTTTTCTGATATTCTCATATAGCATACTGGAAATCTCTGTAGGAGTGGGAGACCAATTAGGATAGTCTGCCCCTTAGAGGTTGTTGGATCCAGATGATTTCCTGACAGCTCTTGGGGAATTTCCAGCTACCATGATTGGTGATCTTGTCTCTGTCCCGCAATACAGAAATGACCAGGATGAACAACATGATTGCTGCTATATGTCATGTCTTCCTGCTTAGCACAAACTGTCCCTTGGTTTACGGGTGAACTTGAAGTGATGAAAAGTTTGTTAGAAGTCTAGAAGTCAAATGGAGGAAGCCTTATGGTGAATGTGGTCAAAGACGGTTTAGAGCTGTGATCATGTTCTGTGGCAATGATGCCAACAAAGCATTTATATTTGTCTGCCAGCAATGCCATCCAGCAGAACTGCTCAATATGATAAGGGAGGTCTTGAGGCTGCCCATGATGATGATATCAAATGCTGTGATTTGTTTCCAGGCATTATGTTCACATTCACAGGGATGTGAATGTCATTGTTAAACAAGATCAGTCTCAGGTTGTTGTTGGAGTGCAGTCTCACCAGGGTGTTATGAATGAATTTCAGTTGTTGAAGCCTTAAGGAGCTGGGCAAGTTGACTGAGGAAGTGTATCCTGCCACATGTATACTTGGCCTTTTCCCATCTTGGCATATAGCAGCTAGCCAATGGTATTGCATTGGTGGGTATCAGGAGCAGTGAATGTTTGTTAATGGAGAGAATCTTCCCATCCACTTTTGGTGATAATGAGACCCTCCTTAAGATCTTGGCTGCAATCACACATGCTAAATAATCCACTTTCAGTCCACTTTCACTCTGCTTTCCAACTGGATTTTGCCAGCTCACACAGTAAAAATCCAGTTGGAAAGTACACTGAAAGTGAATTGAAAGTGGATTATTTAGCATGTGGGACCGCAGCCCTTGATAATTATCAGCATGTGGTAAATATTCCCCTTTGAGGCAAGGTGCTAGACTCATGGCAGTACAGCTTCGGGTCTTCTGGAAAGAAATGCATTATCTGGACCCCTTTCAGCCAGGTTTTAGGTCTAGTTGTGAACCAGAAACTGTCCTGGTCATCCAGGCTTGACAGCCTTCACTGGGAAACGGATTATGACCGTGTCAATTTTCCTGAATTCTTAGTAGCTTAGTAGCCATGCTTTCCTCCTGGATTAGGTGGGGGTGAGGGCACCTGGTGTGGTGCTTCTAGTCCTACCTGACCAGCTGATTCTAAAAGGTTGTTGGGTGAACAGTTTGCCTTGGCATTTGAAATATGTGGTCGTGCAGCCTTCCATTTTGTCCCCTTTGCTGGCAGGAAACTGCTGGAAGATAATAGCTAGAGCTTTGGGTACGATGTCTTCAATATGTTTCTAATGTTGGCAGAATTTAAACATGCAAAGGAAGTGGAGCACTGACTGTTTAGAGAAAAATAAGTAAGTTTATTATAGAAGGACAAACTGTTATAGAACATACAGAGAGAAAGCCTAAACTAACTGGTCTGACTGCTGTAAAATGAACAAAGAGCAACAGGAAGCTGTACAGAAGCAGGAAGCCTCCAGAAGAGCCAATCAGGAGACAGAAAGGACATAGTTTGAAAATGTGGGAGGTCCCTAATCTAGCTATGCTAACTAGCAGTCTTCAGATGTGATCTTCAGATCTTCTTCATCTCTTCTTTCACTGCATTTTTATGTATTTTTATGCTGAGGTTTTAGGCTTGTTTTGAGAACGTAAGAAGCAGAGATGTGCTGGATCAGGCTAACGGTCCATCTAACGGCCTGGATGGTCAACAAAAAGAACACAGAGGCCACAGAGGTTTTTGTTATGTATTGTCTTGTAAGCTGCCTCGGTTACAGTTTATAGAAAGCAGAATTGTTTTATTAAAGTTTAATAAAAAGGCAAATTTTATGGTAGGGACTGTCAGAAAAGGGTTATAAATATAACTGCCACTATTGCAACGTTTTTATAGAAATCTAAGGGACTTGCTGCATTTGCAGCAACAATTGTTTTGGAACAACACTTAAAAGTGCTTCTCTTCCCAGTGTTCTTTTTGGCTTCAATCTGTCCTCTGTGATATCACAACACAGCCCCGCCACCACATAATGTCAGCCAGAAGCAAGAGCTGGGCTGAGTGGGAGCAAACGTTTACTCATCTGTGGATCAAACAATGAGCCTTTCCCCCATTGTCAAGCCCCATTGTGCTGCCTGGTGACTGACAAAATATTTCCCTGATGCGTCTTTCTTTACATAGAAAAGCAGTCTTTCAATGTTCCTAAGAGGATCATGAATTCAGTTTTAAAAAGGTATTTTGCATTAAGTTCAGAATTTGTTTCATACCAGGTTATTTTTAGAACAGAGGCTGAAACTTTTAAAATGGGAGGAAAAACTACAGTACTTGAGGGTTTTTTTTTAAGTCTGTCACATTTTTTAAGTTGTAAATTGAGAGTTGAAAATGGCCCTGCATGAGCTAAACCCTAATGTGGAAATGAACAGTGCCGGCTTTGCCAGCCTAGCAACTGCCCATTGCGCAGTTCAAAGTAAGTGCTTGCATTTGTTGTCTAAGCACCTCCCTACACACATTTTCAAAACTCATGATGGTAAGTATAACGTAAGAAGTAGCCTAAATCTGATGCATTACAGAAACAGATGAGAACAGAACTAAAAGGCAGTGCACTGGGTCTCTCAGGTGGTACAATATTGCAACTGGCAACTCAGATGAAATGAAGGCAGTTCTTCTAAAACACCTATAGTTTGTTTATTTTTTAATCCTGGGGACCAGGATGAGAATGTTTTTCCATTCATCCCACAGTGACTTGCTCTGGGTCTTTGGGCAAACTGCACAATCACTTCGATTTTGCTTGTAAACCAGGATGCTACTAGTGGTATCAGGTGTAAAAGGGAACTGCATCTTTAATTCTGTTTGCTTGGGCTTGCTTCTGAGTGAACATGGTTGGGAGTGAATTGTAAAGCTGCTTAAGTCCCTTCCAAATCTGCTTAAGTAATCCTTCCAAACAATCCCACAAACGTATGTGAGTCTCTCAGATTTAAAGGGTGTCCGTTTCTCCTTTTGCTAAGTATATTTTTCTCTCCCTTTCTTTCCTAGCTGAAAACAAATCACCACCTCGTCCGTGTGGCTTGAATCATTCAGAGTCTCTCAGCAGAGGGGACCGCATTGATGCCGTGACACCCACGTTAGGGAATAGCAACAACCAGCTCAACTCCTCATTTGTTCAAGTGTATGTTCCTGACTACTCCGTGAGAGCAATCTCAGATATTCAGTATGTCAAGGTAGGAAAGGCGGGAAACGGGCCGTTGTCTTCCACACGGAGGGTATAGGAGGCAGGCTGTTCATAATCCCTAGTTGTTTGAATCAGTCCCGCAACAAATTCTGGCTGCTGAAACTCTTCAGGAGGGGAGTTAATATTTTATTATTGTTTTATTTTTTTCTCTCAGAGCAGAATTATTGCTTCTAATACCATGTTTACTGAAATAACATGTATGGGGCCCCATTTGTAGGGAAGAATAAGCAGATGTGAGAATATTTGAATATTTGTGCTGGTTGTCACTTGGATGTATATATCCTCAACCACCTTGGCTTCCTTCCTTCCTGACAGTCCTCATCTGAAAAAGCTCCTTGCTCTTTTATTAGCCTTATGAAGCAATTGTGGGCTTTGGGAACCCCCATGTCCGCCCCTTCACATGTAGTTCTGCCCTCACTTTCAACAGTTGTTTGACCTATTGTGCTGTCATTGCTTCACTGGTACCCTCTGTGTTTAGTTACGTTGGACAGTTAAGAATGCGAGATCTTGCATGAATTGTCAATATTCGCCCTGAGCCTGCTTTGGCGGGGAGGGAGTGGTATAAGTATAATAAATAAATAAATATCATTTCTAGTGTCCCTTTCTGTACTGGAGACCATCTGACTGTGACTCAGAATGGGTCTAGGTTGTAATCTGAGATTCACCATATGTAGTTCATTAAAAAATGTCTCCAGCCTGTTAAAGTTGGTGGAGTTTGTTTATGGCACTTTTACTGGTAAACATTACATGAAGGAATCTGTATGCACGGCCAGTTTAATTCCCCCATACTGTGTAGCACGGGTCCATTCACAAGCAGGTAGATTGGAGGCAGCCATCAAACTCGAACCTCTGTCAGACCTGTACAGTTCAGGTACTAACCCTCTTTGCCCTTTAGTCCCCCCCCCAATATACACAAGCTAACTGTTAGATTCATCTCAGTATCAAATATTAATAGACTATGGTGATCTCCCAGTCTCATTTATTTATTTCATTCAATTCATGAATGTTGAGTGGTGAAAAGAATGTAGATCCATAAAATATGTTAATGCAATAGAATTTAGATGGCTTGCTGATACATTTCAATGTGAAAATGACCTAAAGGATCAGTTATCAGAAAGTGAATTGTTAAGACCACATCAATTCCCAGGATCATGAAAATAATAAAAATAGTATTTATGTAGCACATTAAAGTGTTCAGAACACATAATTTAGGTACTGTGGAAAAATCGCACCAGCTAAATCATCTGGATTATAAATAGTCCCACCATTAGGAATATTGTCCAGAAGACATTTATTCCTATGTATACTAAACCAACAGGGTTTTTAATCAAAGCATAGTTGAGTCAGAACTCTTCTTAGCATCTTCCCTCAACCACCAAATTTAACAGTTTGCTTAAACCTTGTTATTTTCCATTTTAGCAATATGCTGTTTGAAGGTGATATACCAAATGAATTCAGTACAAAGTGAGAAACTTGGAGCTGCTCTTGCCTGGAACACCCCGTGGATGGGGTTGGCATGAGTCGGTTGCAATCAGTGGCACATAACATCAAAATACTTTCTGGAAACAATCGCTAAAAGGAAGGGGTCATCGCTAAAAGGAAGCTGTGAAATAATCACTGTAAATTAGAAAGATCAGAGGCTTTGACCTTTTGAGGAAAGGTTTCTCAGACCCCCCCCCCCCCGACTCTCTCTCAGATAGATCTCGAGGCTGGGGAGAGAAGGAGAGAAGGCTGAATGGCAAATTTGGTTTTACCTCTGGATAATATGCAGCGTCTTATTTATTTTAGTTATCCCTTGCTTTTCTCCCCCGAGGGGACACAAAGTGGCTTGTGACATGGTTCTCCCCCCACTTTTGTTTTATCCTCCCGACATCTGCTCTGTGAAGTAGGCTGGACTGAGAGAGAATGGCTGGTTTAAAGTCATCCATTGATCTTGAGGGTGAGGATAAAATGAGTGAGTTGGGGTTTGAGCTCGTTGCTCAATATTGCTCAGTAATAATATTTATAAATACTATACACTGAATGGAAAAGTCATCCTGATTATGCCAGAAGCACTGATTTTGAAGCATCCAGAACAAGTTAGGTTGGGATGAGATTAGGTGTGTATGGCTAATAAAACAGTAATAAAATATTAATTGTGGGTTTTCTTTTCTTTCCCTTCATATGCTTGACACAGATTTCAAGGCCACAGTACCAAAATGCCGTAATGGCATCCAGGATGGACAAAACACCTCAGTCCTCGGACAGTGAAACCACTAAAATAGAACTGACTCTTACAGAACTACATGATGGTTTGCCAGATGAGACGGCAAATCTGCTGAATGAACAGAACTGTGTGACTCATAACAAGTCCAACCACAGTATGCACAGTGAAGGCGCCATCTAGGAGTTGACAGGCGGCATCTCCCTCAGTCCTCCATCCCAGCCCTCCTCTTCATCAGGACCAGTCCTCATGCCTTCCCCTTGCCATCCACCTGGCTGTGAATACCATTCGTATGTGCTTATTAAGTTGTGCTGCATTCAGTTCTCTGAGACCAAAGACTTCATGCCCAACCTGGGTGTAGAAAAAGAAATGGGAAGGAAGGGGAGTGCAGGAAGCAAGAGACAGTTGCAGAGAAAAATGCAACCCTCACCTAAGCATCGCTTGGGAATGGTGAGCTACTCCTCTGGAGTGAATGGCTAAATTTTTCCTAGTGGAGCAGAATCGCGTTTATTTTTCCAGCTGTTTCATTCATCCGCCAGAAGCTGTGTGGAAAAGTTTAAACCAACAGCTGTGGTTTATTTTTTCAAGAAAAATCATGTTTTTTAAAGGTATTTTGCAGTTTTAAATGTTGTAGGACATTCCCAGTTAAGCTCCTGAATTTGCCCCAATGTCCCTCTCCCATATCTTTGTTTCCTTCTTGTTGAAATGGCAAACTGGTACTAGAATGTGTTTGTTTTTTAAGAACAAAGAGTGAATGAAATTTAAGGAACCTGTGGCATCTCACTCATGGGAGATGGGAAGCTATATTCTCCCTCTAGCTAATCTTGTGGGTAGGCATTATTTTGCGTTTTGTATGCAAAAAATTACTGAAATGGTCAAGGGTGTCACAAAAAATGGTGTGTGCCATATACGATGGTGAATTTTTGATGTTTCAGGTGAAACTTAACAGAGGCAGTACATTTTTCCAGAGAGCTGTACAAAACATTTTATTCCCAGGCATTTGTATTTCTATTTCTTCTGGGGAAATAATTATGGAACCTTCATGAGTGCATACCTTTAAAATATCTTATGTGTCAGTGTGCAACGGTCACATCACTTAAGATGTGTCAGTTCACCAGTCACCTAAAACCCTCTGTGACAGTGCTGCTTTGACGATGGCCAAAGTCATCCTTCCAGTGCACTCTTCATCACATATTCTTGGACCACTTTACTGCCTTCTGGGTTGGTGTGTGATGGATTGGGAGTGTGTTCTGAATGATGTTATTGGAGAGGAGTATTTAGCAGCATTCATACTGTTGCGTAAATTCTCTTTAAAAACGACCTCCTTAACTTCCTTTCACTTGATCCATGGGATAGCTACATAGATATGAGAACTGAATCAGAAATACCATTGGGATATTCTAAACTCCCTAATCTCAGGGGGCTGAGAAATCTACTTTGGGAGTAATATTTGGGCATGTTGCTTACAGAGGTTTTGGGACTGTGCATTTGAACGGTTTCACTTGACATCACTATGACTCTAAGTTGTCTGTACCCTTTCTCAGCTGTTATAAGAAATATGAGTATGAAAATCAGTATTAATCTGTCATGAAAAGGGCCTGTTCTGCAGCACAGTCTCCATGCTGACTTCACAATCAATACATCCTTTGCTTCCTGCTTTGCTAGAATCCTGGGTGGCAGGACTGCCTCTCATTCCTTTAACCAGGTGAAGCAGCTTGATGCAAATCCTACATCATTCAACATACACAAGTACTTTTAGGAAATATACAGTGTTTTTCGGGTCAGCTCTTTGTATGCCCTTATGGTGAAGTTTATCCCATTTTGCTTTAGTGGGTGACTGTGAGAGAGCTGCTTTCTTTCTTTCATTCATTAATGTCCATGTAAGAAGAGATGGCCAGGAGGAAATTCACTGAACGCTCAATTTACAGGAAGCATGCAGATCCCTCCACAAAAGCCCCTCTGAAAAGGCATTGAACTCCCAGTCGTGATATTTCATATCACTGAGAAGACTGAATCATTTTCCTAGCAGATTATTTTATTAAAGGTTATTTTTAAAATCATACCCTTTCAGTTGTTCCCATTAATTTCTTCAGCCCTACTTCTGCCGAGCCCTTGTCCTCAAGGAATGTAGCTTTTGTAGGCTTCTGAGGCTGCCAGCACTGTACTCTTCTTGCCAGATCACAACAGAGTGCGACATGAATGCTGTTGCAAATGATGTCTACGATGTTAGTGGTATGCTGTGGATCAAAGCTATTACACTGCAGACAGAAAGTGGAGGAAGACTCCTAGCTGATTTTATTTCCTGCAGTCTTTCAAAATATTTTGCCTCCCCCCTACTACATACTGTATTCTCCTAACAAAGCAATGCTGCCTCAAACAATCCTCCCAGAGACTCTCACAATGTTTCTAATGTTTTTCAGTTCTTTTCTCAAGTGAATGAGTTATTATGACTTAGACACAGAAGTGTTCACAAGAAATTTGCAGTGCAATGGGATTGTTCTCAGCATATTCTTCGGGGGTGGGGGGGAGGTATTCTTCCTGGACAAATGGGCCACATAGGATATCAGGATGTTCAAATGTACCTTTTGGCTTCTGGGTGGCACTTGGGAATTTAACTTTCTAATAGCCCTTGGAAGATGTCCTCTGATTACGCCACAGCTCTCTCCACTTGGGTGAATGAATGTCTGTGTGCATGTACAGTGTACCATATTATCCAAATCTTTAAAAAACGATTCCTCTCATGTCACATGCCTGATCAACCATATTAAAAAAGAATTCCAAACATGTTTAGGATAGAAAAGTGTGATTCGTATGATGGGAGATGACCTTGCAAAGCTTCTTTGGTGCTCCTTCCTGCCATAAGGTAACTATATGCAAGGTTGGGCACAGGGTTGTAGCTTTGGGAGCCAGGATTTCATGCCTTGATAAAACTTCAGTTTTGCTGGAATTGGCATCTTTCTGTAATTGATCCAGCTCCTTGCAGTTTCTTGTCATTCATTCAGGAATGTGGTTGGCAGCAGTGCTCATCAGTGGTCATCTAGCCTTTCTTTTATGATGAGAATACAGTTGCACATCATTTCTTCAAAGTGAATATGACAGTATTTTAGATTCCTGACACAAAATTCATGTTGGTATGAATGAACCACCAGAGGTCTTTGTATGTTAAAATACAGTCCATTGTCAAGCCTCTGTAAAGAGTGACAAATTAGTTCTCCAAAAGGAAAACTGGCTTAGTGACATAGCAAACACATACAGTGAGTATAAGGCAAGAGAAGCAGCAATCCAGCATTTTCCTTCTGCAGGCCTGCCATTTTATAGGGGACCAGGACATCACTGTTCTCATCCTCCTACGACCTTGCCCAGTGGAAAAGCTCAGACTACAAGGGTGTGGTAATGTCAGCATTCATCAAAACTGTATGGACAGAGCTCAAGGCTAACAGACGAGGGACAGAAGAGTGGAAATCAGAGCTTGTGCTAACATGCAGTACTTATTCCTCAAATTACTTTGTATGACTTTCCCAAAGGAACATCCCAGAGGCAATCCTCAAAGATTATCGGAGAAGTGGCTCAAGTAGCACAGGGCAGGAGTCTTATAGTATAAACATTCAGAACTCCTACTTGACAAATTGATTTGCTCAGAATTAAATTGACATTCTGACTATTTCAGGGGTGCAAAAAGATGTTCCTCTTCAAGTATTGGGGGGGGCAAAGATTTACCTCAGCCAAGCACCAAATGGAGCTCTTGAAGTCTTAATAGTTCTAGGAAGGGTACTAGGCACATGTACCTGGTAAATTCCTCACTGCCATTGCAATGCTTAAAGATACAGACGACCTTCCTGGGTCAGGAATTGGCAGCTTCAGTGGTGGAAACTGTAGCACCCATTCCACAAGAATGGCATGCACTGGCTATAAGTGAATTTCAGACAGATAGCAGTTGTACTGTGCTAGGTTTGGTATCTTTGGTGTGTCATGTAATCTGTCCAAAAACAAAGTTTGCTACTTTTGTTGTAATCACTCTGAAGACTTCATTAAAGTGGTACTGGGCCCTATTTCACACACTGAAACTACCACATGGGTTTTTAAAAAAAATTGTTTGCACACACAGACTGCTTCCATGTACTGAGCTTTGTTTCTGTTCATCATGTGGATGTTTTGTGTTCATGTTGTCGGAAAATGCTGCAACTGGTTTGTGGTTGTTGGAGCAAGCTATATGGAAGCAACCAATCTACTTGAAGAAATGGGTCATCGTATCAAACAACCACCACATGATTATGTATGACTTAGACCAGAGATATAATATGATAACTTACAATATAGATGATACGCATGCAAATTAGTGTGTGTATATTATATGCTAGTTTCTTTTGCCCTTTTCACATGTTAATTTGTGTGTGTACATGCATTCATAATTTTTGTATACATGTGGATTTTGTGTGTGTTAGTATGTGCAATATGGACTCTGTTTTTACCCTCAAGTGCAAAATGAGAATGGTAACTCCTGGTCCCCAAGTGTAAAATCAGAAGGAATGTGCATTCGAACATCCACACAAACAACTCTTTGTGTGTACAATGTGAATGTTACATGCATACACAGTAGTGCTTGAAAAGCCCCAGTGTCTGGTTTCCTTGAATGAACAGAACAGTAGACAGCATTAAAGTTTACATTAGGCTATAATAAATACTTTATCCTGTTAGCTTTGGTGTCCAGTTAAGTAGGATGCTTGTAGTACTATATGAAACAGTCCCTGACTGTTTTGTGCCTTAGCCACTATAATTTTGGAATTAGATGATGTGACACCAAATAAGTTCTGGGTCTGACCAGCTTTAAGCAAAGATCACATTTTTTATTGCAGAGGAGAAAATTGCCCCTCCTTGCTCTGTCTTATAGGTTACATTTAGCTTGCTTGATCATAGTGTCTGTGCTGATCATATAGTCTAGGACAGACTCAAGTCTCTGAAACATGGCATCTTTACAGGGCAACTTTAGAGACTGGTAGAGTTTGTTTGATTTTGAGACAGTGAAGTCCATTTCCCTCCTTGTGTATCATTTATCTTCAGTGGTTCCATCTTTATTTTTCTCTGGAATGTGCACCATGATTAATCTCAAACAATCTCCACTCCCTCTAAGCTGCACTAGGGGGTGCGGGCACACAAAATGTTAACAGGCAGTGCAGGGATTTCTG